GAATAATTTGTTCAAAAGAATCAAGATTGTCAGGAGCCGGAATTAAATCTGAAGAAATTGTTTCTTGTGGGAAAAAAGAAGGGGCAGCTACATTGCAAAGCCAATTATATTCCTGAGTGAGGACAGTCGCCCAAAGGGTTGTTGAAGGATCATCTCCGTTGCAGAGGTGCTGCGTCATCAGGCTAGGGGCAGGGTCTTTATATCAACAACTTCAGGATGCTAATGGAAAAAATATGGGGAAACATTGCCTTTCAAAAGTCAATTTTTCTATAACTGCCAGTCAGCCTTTATCTCTTAATCCAAATTCAAACAGACAAACAGCACTTTTGCATACGTGCATGATTAAATCACAGAAATAAACCCCTCCCAAAACTGGCATTTGGGGATTAACTGAATTTCCATTTTATCCCAAATTGTGACAATCAGTCAAAATAAAATATTGTGTATAGTGCTTAACTCAGAAAAGCACAAATATGTTGTATCAAGGAAATGCTGAGCACAGGAAAATTTTCTATGTATTCATGTAACATAAACTTCAGTTTCTAATTTATTTTTTTCTCACCAGGAGAAAAAAATATAATTTCACATACAATAACTATATATCCAAGTACAAAAGGTGAATTTTATTTTTCACACATTGCAAAAACTGTATTGTTATACCACATGTTTTTAAAATTTTCTTTCCATACTTGTATTTTTGCCGTTCTCTGAAAATTACATGGAAATTTTATTTCATGTTGACTTCGATAATGTGTTTTTTTAGCACAATGCCTGTTCACAACATAGTTTTCTGATACTTATATAACTAGAAATCTATCATATTCATTTATTTAAAAATAATATTGCCTATAAGGTTGTAAGTTTGTGCTAATGGTGCCAGAATTTATCATTCATGAGTATTACAAATAATTAAGAAAATTAGTTTAAAAGCTCTGATTGCCTAAATTGTTACTAGTTTTAACACATATTTTTGAGTTATACTTCCTGGGTGTTTTGGGAAAAAAAGCTCTCTTGGCACCTTTCGGCACTTTAGAAACAGAAGGACTTTCATTACTGTCTAGTTTTGTCCTTCTGTCTCAATGGTTTTTTCCCTTTGATGGGAACTGGAATGGACTACCTAAATATTTATGATTCTGTGATCAGGCCTCCTGCTAGCACTCCATTTACCCTTTAGCGCTTAATCAGGATGGACATATTTAAAACATCAAGTCTTTCAGCCTTCCTGTAGTCAAAATACATTTGTCCATAGATTTGAACAAGTTCACGACTCCATCCTCTGAGGCAGCTTCTTTGGAAAATGTTTTTGTGTCATCTCCTAGCAGTTAGTTGCTACCAAGCACTTCAGGTACAAGAGGTTTAGCAAGGACAGCCTAAAATACTCTCCAAAGTAGTGCTAGGGTGACTTTTGTATTAGTTTCCAGATAGTTCTTTATGTCTCTTTGCAACTGTTTGAGTTTATTAAAACTGCATAAGTGTTTCATTCATAACAGATCAAAAATAATCACTTTGATATTATTCTGCTACACCTGATCTTTACTTGGATTTTCATACTAGGAATGATTCTCCCTTACCTCTTCAATTTTATTCTTGTAGTGCCATGTCCACACAATCATGTGCTTTTACATACATTAGGGAAAGATGAGCAACCAAGAAATGTTATTTTGATAAATTCATTGCAAAGTATAACTTTTATTTATATCAACAAATGTCTTCTGGTTGTATTAGCATTTTGAAATTGTAGCCATGAAAAGTAGTACACACTGATGGAGAGAAGAAAAAAGTTGGAACTTCCTTCCTATAAATTTTTGAATTTCAATTTAGTTTAAATTTTATTTCAGATTTTTGGTCTAGACCAGAAAGAGGTTTTTAAATCCTGGACTAGGTCTTAAACTAAAGAGATATTCAATTGCTTTTTCCATTCTGGGTGCATCCGTGGGATTTGATGGATATAAGACTAAAAGCACCATCTGGATGTTAAAAAAAATTTAACAAATTTACCATCAACAAATTCACAGTCTATTTCAAATTACTTCTCTATAAATTGGGTATTTTTTCTTTTCTCTTTTTTTTTTTGGCTATACAGAATTTCACATATTAGAATCATTTTCACATAGACTGCATAGCCAACCACTATATTTATAAAATATATTGTCACCTCTGGTATGAAAAGTCAGTGTCTTCATGTAAGCTCTTAGCAGAAAATTCAGATCTGCTCACTGATGTCACATGGCACAGACTCCGTACTTGTAAAATATGCTGTTATAGATACCTCCAGATGCATAAATATATAGAGGTAGAGATAGATGTATTTGCTCCAAGAGAATAGCAACAAAGATTTTGGTCCACTAAGATTGTATGCAGCAGTATTTGACTTATTTTGGTCCAAAGGAGGAAAGAGGAGTAAGGGGAGGATATAAAGGGCTATTAATGCTCTGTGTTAGTGTACCAAGTACAGAAATTAGTTGAAGAGAGAGGTCCAGAAAAGTAAGAAAATAAATATTGTGCCAATTATCAGTCTGCCCAGTATAGAACATGAACAGTATAGAATATTCTCCAATACTGCAAACTTGTCTCTTATAGTTCACAGCAATAACTCTGCCAGTGGCACGGAGAAGGAACTTAAGAGTTCAAGAAAAACTTGCAGACCCAGTAGCCAATTAACAAAAACCAAAGTTGATGTTATGTGAGGTACTGCCCCCAACTTCTGCACTATTTTAAGTACAGGTATTTGTCTGCTAGTAACTGAAGAGGCTGGCCACTAATTAAGCAAAAGAGATGAAAGATTAAAGACCTCTGGAGACCTTCATTTTGTATGTTTGGTAACCGAGTGTAAGGACCGAAACTCAGCCGCTCAGCAGGAAGAAGCTTGAAAGGATTATGTAGCAGGTGATGCCAAGATTTTGCCCCTAAAGGCGCAGAGAACTGCTCAATGACAAAGTTTTAGCAGCGAGGTATTTATTTGAGGCAACGTTGGAGAGCAGCTAGCTCGCACTAGACAAACTGCTCTGCCTCTTCAGTGAAAAGACAGGATTATTGTGCTGGTTTAAAAGTTAACCAGCAGGAGAAATGAACTCAACTCAAAAGAGAGATTATAAATCAGAATAACAATTTAATAAAATAATACAATAAGTACAATTATACAAACAAACAATTGGTCTTAACCCACAAAACCCAAATGTATAACCCAGCACCCTGGGACATGAACAAAGTGGTGTTCCTTGGGCCCCCCCCAAGTCCAAAGTAAAGGGAGAAGAGAAAAACCTGCTGGTGGGAGAGCTGTTGCAGTCTGGGAGAGCTGTAAGCTGCAGTCCAGTTGAGAGCGGTGAGCTGCAGTCTCCCTCTGGATCCCACGAGTGGTAAAAAGGTTCCAAAACTCCAAGTTTATATATTCTCCAGTTCAGGCAGGAATGCTCAGTCCTCCCCTCAGAGCAGGGAATTCCATAAAAGGGTATGAGGACAGGAACATCTACAGGCCTCTACTGCTAACAATTTCTGGGAAATGGCATGGAAGGCTATAGAATACACAGTTTTGGGTTACACCCATACCATGATGAACTGGTCTCAGCTGTCCTAACTAGGACAATTATATACCATTTTTACAAGTGATTACAACATTTTCACATACATATTCATATAACTGCAACATCTAGTTATAATATTCATAACAGGTGGAGTTTAGGCGGAGTTAGAGGTGTGGTCTTCAATTTGAGGAGAATCTAGGAGGGTCCTTCCTGTTCTTCATCCTTATGAGCCCCTGGCCCAGCCTCCATCCTCTTCATGAACTTTGTGAACTTCCCTACTTTGGCTACCTTTCTAGTGTATCTGGCAGAAGTTCCTGGTATCTTGGCAAGGTGTACCTATGTTTTGACTCACTTTCCCTTTTTATCAGTCTTTGTTTTCTTGAGCACATATACTTCTGTTCTTTCATGTCAGTGTATTCTACATACGTTAATGAATTATTGCCTCCGCTGTTTCTAAGACCAAGTTTTCTGTGCCTTTGCTTAAAATCTACATTTTGAATTTAACTCTCTGCTCTTCGTATTGCTATATAACATTTGCTTTCTAGGCCTTGCCTCGCTTCATTTCCCCCCTTTTCTTAAACTCACGAATTCTTTCATCAAGTTTTAGTTTTGAGGGTGTTGATAAGCTTGTATCATTGCCCAGATTACTTGTGTCTTTGTGATTATGTAGTTTACACCACAGCCATACGTTCAGAAGGGTTAGCAAGATTACAGCTATCGCTATGATCAAGATTGGGTGTATTAAATAATGAAAAACCTGGGTTGCTGTTGGGGAATATCCCATAAAGATATCCCACCAATGGTGTTTCCCTACTTGTTCAATTTTTGTTAAGATATTCTTTATTCCCGCTGAGTCATGCTCTACTTGCCACAGCATGCGTTGTGTGGTTTCGTTTACTTCTTGAACTAACTTCTCTATGTTGGGATGTGTGAGCATTTTTTTAAGACGGTTAATATCCATACTTATTTGTAGCTTTGGTATATCATGATATAAAGTGTATTCTGCTTCAATTAGTTGCTGAGTGGTTACAGGAGCGGTATAGTCAAAGTTACAGCCTACGATTTTAGTGAAGTTGCATATGCAAAAGTTAGTATTATTGGTTACTTCATGACAGTTATCTATGGTGATGTCACTACAAACAGTTCTTACACATGCACATCCATTACCTACATAAAATACTTGTGGTTGAGCTCTTTTGTGAGGAAGTATTTCAAAAGTACATACACTGTTTTCAGCATCTAAGCATAAATCTTCTGCTTCTACTATGGCATTTTTGCAGATATATCTTAATTGTCCCTTAGGGATACATGCTTCTGTGCTAATTGATTGCCATTTATTCTTAGCATTATCATAACTAGCCCAAACATTATGATCTACACGTTTAACAACAACATTTTGATGTATAGCTCCCAAAGTCAAGACAGGAAAGATAACTTTCTCCTCTGCAGCACTAATAGTGATAACATAGGCCTCAATGTGCTAGTGTTGTGGATTGTATGTAAAATTCACTAGTTGCCACCAGGCTTGGTGATCTTTCTCAAACTGACTGGTAGAGCTATTTCTTAGTATCATTTCTCTTATTTCCTGAGGTAGTGTACCTGATGCTCCTTCTCTCAAGATTCCTGCTGCCATTGACTGTACCCATTGTTGTGTTTGGGTGCACTGAATAGTATGTGCTACCTCTTTACTGATATCCCCAGTATAGTCTGCAATTTTAAGAAAATATTCAGCAGTATGATTCGCAAGTCCGATAGTACTTATCGAGAGTCCAATGGTCAGCACTGAGAGGATTAGAGAGAGGGCTGGATTCATTATGTCGGGTCTTCTTGCTTGTCCTCTGGAGCTTTCTTAACTCGAGAATAGTGGATCCATGTGGGTCACTCCTTTATCTGAACCGTGGTGAAGGTGGTCAGCTGCACTTGGAAAGGTCCCTCCCACTTCTCTTGTAGGGGTTTTCCTAAAAGATTCTTAACATACACCCAATCACCGGGATTAAACAGATGCAGTTTACAATCAGGTTGTTTGGGCTGGTGCTCTACTATTACAGCAGCATTTTTATCAAAATGTTTTCCTACAGCAATTACATAATCATATATATACTGATTACCTATTTGATCTACAGCATCGCTATTTACAATTTGCATAGCATAAGGTCAACCGTACAGTATTTCATATGGGCTTAGTTTCTCTTTTGATTGAGGTTTTTAACTCTCAACCCAATCAGAGCAATAGGCAAAGCTTGGTACCATTGTAAATTAGTCTCTTGACATATTTTAGCAACTTGTTGTTTGATGATTCATATTTTCCACCTGTCCACTGGCCTGTGGCCTGTAGGGCATATGCAATTGCCATTTAATTTGCAGTGCTTTGCTTATTACTCTCACAACCTTTGCACAAAAATGTGATCCTCTGTCTGAAGAGATAGTTCTTGGTACCTCAAACCATGGCATGATTTCATTTAACAAAGCTTTAGTTACCTCTCTCTCTTTGTTTGTCCTGCAGGGGTATGCTTCAGGCCACCCAGAAAATGTGTCAGTCAACACCAATAAATATCGATACCCCCCTTTTCTTGGGAGTTCAGAAAAATCAATTTGCCATACTTCACCTGGGAATTTGCCTCGGTTTATTGCTCCGTGACGTATTTTGGTTCCTGTATTTGGATTGTTCTTCAGGCATTGTTCACACCGGGATGTGACTTGCTTTATGGTGGTGAACAATTTTGGTCCTGCTATTCTGGCCTGTAAATACTGATAAAGTGGATCTAAACTCCAATGGGCTTTTTCATGTTCTGTTTTTATAAATTGCCACATTAATTTCCCTGGTATTATTAGTTGTCTGTTTCTAACTGTCCCCATCCATTGTCTAACAATTTGCCTTTGTTCTTTTGAATCCATCTATGATCTGATTCCTGACAATCTGGTTGGAAGTTAGTATCGGGTTCCCCTGGTACTAAGGTTGCTATGTTCACTTCCCCAGTTCTTGCAGCAGCTAATTTAGCTTCTGCGTCAGCTTTCCTATTCCCTATTTCTGGAACAGTGTTACCTTTCAGGAGCCCCTTGCAATGCATTATGGCCACTTGTGCTGGGAGTTGGACTGCTTCTAACAATTGTAGAATTTCTTCTGCATGTTTGACAGTTTTCCCCTGGGCAGTCAGCAGTCCTCTTTCTTTCCAAATTGCTCCATGAGCATGCACGATGGAGAAGGCATATTTTGAATCTGTCCAGATATTTATCTTTATGCCTTCTGCCAATTCCAGAGCTCGGGTAAGACCTATCAGTTCTGCTTTCTGGGCTGAAGTCCCTGCAGGTAAAGAATTTGATTTCATTACCTCTTCCGTTGTGGTCGCTGCATAGCCTGCCATCCTTACTCCCTGTTTCACGAAGCTGCTGCTGTCGGAGAACCAGTTGTCCGTATCTTCAAGCGGTTCTTCTTTGAGATCCAGGCGGTTGGAGTGGACAGCTTCAATGGTCTCCAGGTAGTCGTGCTCGAGTGGTTCTGCTGGCATTCTTCCTTCTAGAAATGAGGCTGGATTCACAATGTTAGTGACTTGTATGGTTACATCATCTGACTCAGCTAGTATTGCCTCGTACTTTAGGAATCTGGAAGGTGACAACCAATGGCCTCCTTTCTGCTTGAGTACTGCAGATACAGTATGGGACACTAACAGTCATTTTCTGGCCCAATGTGAGCTTTCTGGCTTCTTCTATGTTTATGATGGCTGCAGCCACTGCTCTCAGACAGCTGGGCCATCCTTTGCTTACCTCATCCAACTTGTGTGGTCCCAGTTGTTGTGCCAAGACTCCTAAAGCCATTCCTTGCCGTTCATGAGAGAACAGACAAAATGGTTTTGTTACAATGGGCAGGCCCAGGGCTGGGGCTTTCATGAGTTCCTGTTTCAGTCTCTTAAAAGCTCCCTCTGCTTCGGGAGTCCAGACTAGGATACTCTCAGCCTCTTTCAGCAAATCATACAGTGGTTTAGCGAGTATCCCATATTGATAAATCCATAAGCGGCACCAACTTGTCATTCCCAGGAAGGCTCATAGGTCTCTCACCGTTTCCGGTCTGGGCATCTGGCAGATGGTTTCTTTTCTTGCTGTTCCTAGGGATCATTGTCCTCTGGAAATTTCATATCCCAGGTACACCGCTTTTTCTTGCACCAGCTGTGCTTTCTGTTGAGAGACTCGATACCCACTTAAACCCAGGAAATTCAACAGAGAAATAGTCCAGTTAACACACTCTTCTTCTGTTTCAGTTGCTATTAGTAGATCATCTACGTATTGTAGAAGACTACTATCTCCTTGTGGCCTTTCCCATTGTTCTAATTCTTTGGCTAATTGGTTCCCAAAAATTGTTGGACGATTTTTATAGCCCTGAGGTAACACTGTTTATATTAATTGAGCCTTTCTCCCTTTTCTAACAGATTCCCATTCAAAGGCAAAAACCCTTTGGCTTTCTGGGGCTAAGGGAAGGCAGAAGAATGCATCTTTTAGATCTAACACTGTGAACCAAGTCAGACTGTCTTTTAGTTTTGCCAAAAAAGTGTATAGGGATTAGGAAATCTGATCCACATTCTACTAATAACTTCAAATTTTTTTAAAAAATGTCTCTATTATCGGTTCAATTCCTTTCCTATCTTTCAATCCCATAGGGGTATACTTTATTTAGGATTTGGTCAATGTTTTGCTTGCTATGTTCTGGTTTCATGCAGCTTATGGCTAAACTTAAGGCTGTTATTAATTGTTAATTCAAGTTTGCCTTTGTCAAATTTAATTACAGTTCCCAGATTTTCTAGTAAATCTCTACCCAGTAAAGACTTTGGAGGATTGGGTAAAAATTGGTGAATTCTCATTTGTTTCCCAATTTTGTATTTGATATGTTTTAGAAAATAAGCCTTTTCTGGTTGGCCTGTTGCTCCCATGATTTGTACACAGGGCAACAGGGGCTGAGAGAAATCCCAGCATCTGAGGGCCAGGACACTTCTTCACAAGACCTATTGATATTTAATAATGTTGATTGGCCTGTCTCCTGCAGCAAGATATGGAGAGACTTTGTGATGATGTTATCAGACCATGTAGAAACCCCTTTTTTCCTCCCCCCCAGGTAATCCTTGTTACAGGAAATATTAACCAATTGTGTAACTGTAGCAGAAACTTGTGTAATCCCCTAGCTAACATAGTCCATCCCCTAGTTAGCATAACCCATCCTCCTCATTAACATGTCCTGCCCCCAAGACCCTTAAATTGCGTTTCGCGTGTTCAACAAGGATTTCAGTTTTCACCCTCAAACCTGGGATCAGATAGTTATTGACCTCTTCAACGAAGAACAAATACAGGTTTGCTCAAAGAAAGAAGCATGTTGCCTACCATGAAACCAGTATCCTTTCTGAACAGAGAACCAAGAGGAAACTTTTTATACATTTGTGCCAGATTCTTCAAGGGTGAAAGTATCTTGAAGCTTTCTTAAAGTAAGGCCCTTAAAATAAGAAACATCATCAAAATTACTATCAAATAAAATTTTATTATTATTTATACAAGTACAACTTTTATGTACAATATTTATAGTATTTTATATTCAAAAATTTTCCCTGGAACTATTAACATCTTTTCCCTAGAGCTTTTTCTAAATAATTTGGTGTAGCACTTTCTTAAAATTCTGACAAGACAGCTATTAACTGAATTGGAGTAAAAGAATTATACATTATATTACTTCTCCGCACATAATATTTTCATCATAATTTAGTCAGTTAATTCAGGAGACTCAGCAAAGGACAGTGTGTGATTACTGTTTGTGGTCTCTAATTTTAATCACTCTTTGCTTTCAAACTACCACACAGAGGACTACCACACCTAGGAGATCAGAGGTGCTCTCAGGTCCCCAGGGCAGATACTCACATAATGTTCTAAATTGATTGATGTCAGACAGTGAAATTGTGGAGTTTATCCAACCCTGGAGATACTCAAAAGCTGTCTGGACAGGGTGACCCTGCTCAAGCAGAGGGCTTGGAGCACTGGCCTTCCACCCTCAACCATTCTGTGACAATCCTAGTGGCACAAAGAAGAGTTTGGATCAAGGGCATACTGTGACATTTTCTATGTCCTTAAATAAAACCTTAAAATTTTCTTTTAATGTTTTCATATAGAGCCTTGACAGAACAGTAGGTTTCTGTACAGAGGTACGGTCCTCATTGAAGACTAAATGCAGTCTCATTTCAATAACTATTCGTTCTCCATGACTGAATTACATATGACCATATTAAAGTATATTCCAACTTACCTGTATAACCATCTCATTGAATTCAAAATAGGTCCTCTTGAAAGGAAACAGTTAAACTGTTTCTGAAAATAACCTGGAAAAAGGAATCTTCTGTCTGAAGTGTTCTGACAGTATGTGTTCTGAAGAGACATGTCAGATCTTACCATTCCCTGTATCTCCCTTAAATGCATGGCCTTCTCCATATTAATCCACTTGTAGCCTAGAAATGTAAAACAGTTTTTAAAGAATTAAAAAATTAATTAATTGTATAAAAAGTAATCAACTTTTATATGTTATTTATTATGACATTATTTATTATCCTCTTATATGAAATTTCCCTCCTGTTTTCCTCTCCATCTTTTTTTAGGTGACTTTATGTCAGTGTAGAGTCGTGACGGTCGATAAAGACACAAAGAATCTAATTATGTGCAGAAAAGATGTCTGACTTTATTTTCTCATCTGCCTTTTTATACCCCTTGCTAGCAGCAAGCAGTATCCTTATTTTAGGTAAGCAAGCAACAGCGTTTTCATTGGCTAGGATCTATTGGTGACACATTTGGCAAAGCTCAAGGCCTTATTGCAGTTCCTACATCCTAGGCCTACCGACTTTACAGTCTGCCTTTGTTTCTCCATTAGAGCTGCGTACTGACTTCCTCATCATCAAGGATACACCTGAAAGTTTGCCCAGTCGATATATTCATCCTGGGAGCTAACAGATTCACTATTAACCCCTTTGACTTTAAACTACTCAGTTCTGAGGGCCAGAACAATCATAGGACTTGAATTAAAATACAAGATAAGCCTATGTTAAGTGACATAATAGATCATGAATTAAATTGTGCTCTCAAGTAAAGTGAAAAATAGTACCAAAACAGTGAAGAGACAGTCCCTACAAGGAGACAGCACACTGAAAAATAGCTAACCTTATTTTTCTGTTGCCTTGCTCCAGCTATAGCTTCTGGTAATGATTATGTGAGAATAAGGGTGAAGTTTGCAGAGTGCAACCAGAAGACTTTCTCCATTACCACACAGGTCATCACTACAAGAACTTGGAAATATTTATCCAGATATGCAGAATTTAGTCAGCCTAAATAGGAAAAATACAGAAATCATTCACATTTTAGTTAAAGGTATTAAAGACCACCTTTAAATGGAAAAAGTACATTTTCTGTTGCTTTGAGTGATGGAGGAGGTGTAGAGTACTGACTCTACTGGGTCTTTAGTATTCTCTGAGACTTTGTAAAAAGCCTCTTCATCTCACCTTAATGTCAGACATCTGTAATACAGACACTTAGATCTGAGCTAGTTATCTGGATGTCTTTTACAATTGTCCAAGAGAAACAAGTACAATTTATTTAACCTATTTGAAACACCTATTTTAGGACAAAATGAATTGTGCTCTATAAATGCCTCTTTTCTTTCCAATTACTGTAGTAGATACATATGAGTGTTAATACAGTTATCCAAACACAAGCTGATAAATCCCACCTTGCCACCCCTATTTTCTCTCAGCCTTTTTTTCACAGCTACCCATTTAAGCTCTAAGAGTTCAGTGGTAACTTCTAAGTTTGTGTGTGGATTAATATAATGGTGTCTTCAATCAATAATAGACTACTACAACAGCATCTTTAAACAACCAAGGCCTTATCCCAATATTGAAAGATTGGCATTGCTAATGTATTTGGAAATCCTTTCCTCACCTCAGAGTTAGGATAATTTTACAAGCTCCAGCCCATAAACCACTAAGCAGCTTTTATCTTGGACAATTGCATGAAGGACATCTCAGTGGCACTATCCAGCATTAAACCTTCATACAGGTCTTGCAATAGTATTTTGATTCCTCAGACTCCTCCTTTCTAAAAACCTAACAACCAGACACTGTTATTTTTACATAACTTAATCTCATTTTTCTATTAGGAAAATATAATCAGGAAAGCTCTAGCCTTGCTCTTGCTCTCTAAAATTCCCTAAACAGCAGCTTCATACCTATTGCTCAGACACATGGCTTTGTTCAGAAAAACACCATTCAGAAGGTGAGGAAAATATCACTATGAAAACAATTTGGAAAAACAAAGAAAAAAAGAAAGTTTTCTAATTTGCATTTTTAATTTCAGTGTTTGTTTTTATTGCCTACCTTCTTCTGTCACAGAGTCTGATTCAACAAAAATTATTTTGACTTCAGAGAAACTTCCTTTTACTCCCAAAGGAAGAAAACAAATTGTAAGGCTGCAGTGACATGAAAGCAAGCTGCTGTTTTTATTAGATTCAGGTACAATCAAAAAAGTAAAATTATTTCCATTTCTACCAAGGGAGTATTTACAATAATGAAATTTTGCAGTTTTGTAAGGGTTTGCACACTATGACAATGTAAATCACCCTGGGAGTTAGCTTCTGGCTTTAAGATATATTTTAGCCTTTTCTCAGCAACATGATTGCATCAGGACCTTTGTTATTATTTGAGAAATGTGACCAAAATATCCTTTCCTGTCTGCTGTTGTGAAAATGTCTTGCTATTTGTATTGTACAACATACTGGAAAGACCATTTTGCCTTCCAGCTCAGTAGCCCATCCTCAGAGCTCAATCATATTTATAGTCTTCATGTTTTGCAAAAATTTGTATTGGATTTTTACAATACCAAAGCTAGTACTTGTATTGCCCTCTGCAGGTTTTTTTGTCCACTTCCTTCCCCTACCTGTTTATGAAACACTTATCTCCTTGTAATGACTTTACATCGGAAATAAATGGAGCCTAAATTCCGCCCTCAAACAAGCATGCAAGTTTTTGTTGATAGAAATAATAAGTTAGACTCATATCCTCTTTATAGCTCTGCAGCTCTGCAGAGAATGCTCAGGAAAAGCAGATGGTATCCTCTCTGCAGAAGTGGTTCTGCCAGGCATAGTGACATTTACTTGTCAAGATGAAAATAATGAAAAATTAATCCTGTTGCCATTAGTGGCAAAAGGATAAAACCTCTTAAAGAGATGCATCCTGTTACACTTTAAAAAAAAAGTTGCACGTGTGTTTTGACAGAAGGGAAACCTACAGGTGTCTGGAAATATCAGGCAGTATCAGCCCAGGTTAGAATGTGTTGTGTTTTTTCTCCCTATGCGTTTCTTCACTCTTACTGTGAGTGTTCTGTGAAAAGAGGTCTTCATCTACCCTGTTTAAATGCTAACAAAAGACAGAACAGATAAACATGGAAGAGAGGAGTATCTGCAGCCAGGCTACTGAGTACCGTTTTATAAACATTAAAGAGATATGAAGACGTTTTGAATAAAAACATTTAGGAAGGACTTTCACAAGCAGGATAGACAACCTAAAAAGAAAGGGGAAAAAAAAGATACTTGTTTAAAAAATTAAAAAATAGATACATTATGATCATATGCTCCACTGTGATTGTTTTTTGTAATGTAAGTGCAGAATGAAGTGTGATTGGCAGAAGAAGAAAAATCTGTTAACAGCTTTGAAACCTGAAGGATGGCAATTGGTAAGACAGACAGAAGGATTAAATAGAGCAAAGCATAATAAAAAAGGTTTATATTTATACCTTACAGTTTCTAAATTTCTACAGATAAGTCTGTACTTCCTCATGTGTAGAATCTCTAGCAGGAACCATAAACGTAAACATTTATGGATAAATAAACTTGAATACAACCCAGACGCTAATGACTAATTCCTTAGTTAATTAATAAAAAGCAGCAAAAATGCATTTTCAAATCACCCTAATTTCAAGATCTGCTGTTAAGCTTCAACAGTATTGGAGGTGTGTTTCTATATGACCCATTTCAAAATGCATTTGCAAGCTAAATTAAAATTAGAATTTACAAAACACATTAAAATTTCCATCAAACATTGATAAATTCTTTTACATAAAGTGGTGAATGAAAATTTTCAGTGAAAACAAGGAATTCAGATTGACTTGTAATAATAAGTGCAACAATACTTTCTGCTAATGATGAGTAACTTGAGAAACAAATAATTTAAATGTGCTGTTGTAGAATTCAGTTTTAAAACGGGAAATAGAAAGCAAGACAAAAACAAAGTATAAGGAAACAGATCTGAAGTTAAGTCTAGATTTCCTTCCAGCAACAGTTCCAGGCCTGTCTATCAGTGGCAAGGCTCATCTATTTTATTTATTCGTGTCACTTTGTAAGGTGTCAGGCAGTATAAATATTTAACTTATTTAACTGCTGTATAACAGAGAAGTAGAAAATATTGAAAAGGTTTCTGGGTTTCTTTATTCTGTTTGGGAGGTTTGTTGTTTGTTTATTTTGTTTTTCTGTTCAAAATTTGAACTTAGAATTAAGAAGTCAGAATATAAGGAATTTTTACAGCCATAAATAAATACTTTTAAAAATTAATTTTAACTACAACAAGAAATATCTGATACCAGAAAACAGAAGAAGACAAAATGATAGAATCAAAGAGTATTTGATTCCCTTATTACACATTTTTGAGGAGTCTCCTTGAAAGTTAACAGATAGAGCTATTCAGAGTGACTTGACACTTGTCAATTACATAAATTTCTGTAAGAAATTTTGAAGCAGTCTCCTCTAATATAACACATGTAATATACACACTGCAGCAAGATAAACGCAGCTAGGAGGATTAAATGCAGTTTGTCACGCTTACACTTCACCCTTGAGGCCTTCCAAAGTAGCCATATCACAACCAAGGAGGGAATGGTCTTTGGTAGCAGGTAATATCACTGTAGTTTCTATTACAGATATCTTAAATTTCACGTTAGCCTCAGTAGGTCAAGGATTTAATTTGTTGCTTTTTAAGGAACAAATATTTGAAGTGGATAGAGAAAACAGTTGTAGTGAGGCGAAGAAAATCTTCAATACTGCAATATAAGCACAAATGGAACCTAAGCATCAGTTATATAATATGTTTTGTAACTATATGGAAAATACACCAACTCTTATCTTACATTTATTTTAATAAAATGTCATCTAGATAAAGCATACAGGGAAAAATATCAAGATTTATTTAAGAAAATTTCCACCCACCAATATCTCTCACAAAGCACACATTGCAGTGTTGCTAGGTAAATTTCAGAGTAAATATCTGCACATGATAGCCTGCAAATGGTGATAAAAAAATATTCAATCTGCTCTGGAGGTAGGGGGTAGCACAATGACATCTGCTCTTACATCTCTTCTCATTGTCAGCATGCAAAAATTCAGATAAACCAGAAGGCTGAAAAAAAAAAATCTGGTGTGCTTAGTACAAATGACAAATACTATAAGGAAACAATACCTCCTAATTTATTATAATGCTGGGATCTGTTCCCTTTGTGTTTATAAACAAGTATAGTTTATAAGTGAAAACAGATTGCAGGGACATTTTTAGAAAGAAATGAACAGACAATGAACAATTACATGTAATAGGAAGAAATTCCTAAAAAATAGATTGTTTTGATCAATGAATCATCTTAATATATTTATTTGTAATGACTCTACCAGTGGACAAGGAAGGGCTACAGAAGTCATTTATATGGATTTCTGTAAAGCCTTTGACACAGTCCCCCACACCATTCTCCTTCTGTTTAAACTGTAAATGGATGGATTTGATGAGTGGACTGTTAGATGGATCAGAAAGTGGTTGGATGGCCACAGAGTCCCAATGGACACCAGTGACCAGTGGTGTCCCTCAGAGGTTTGTATTGGCACCAGTGTGATTTAACATCTTCAGTAATGACAGAGATGAAGTGACTGAGGGACCCTCAGCAGGTTTGCAGGTGACCCCAAGCTGACAGTGCAGTGACACACCTGAAGGACAGGGCCATCCAGAGGGATACGGACAAGCTCCAGAAGTGGCCCCTGGAAATCTCATGAGGTTTAACAAGGCCAAGGGCTGATGCTGCACGTGGGTCAGGGCAACTGCCAGGATCAATCCAGGCTGGGGATAAGCAGTAGAGCAGCCCTGGGGAGAAGGACTTAAGGGTGCTGGTGGGGGAGAGGCTGGACATGGCCCAGCACAGAAACCCCCCGTGCCCTGGGCTGATCCCACAGCATGGGCAGCAGGGCAGGGAGGGATTCTGCCCCTCTGCCCCCTCAGGTGAGACCCCACCTGGAGAGCTG